TTCCCTCTCTTTTTTTTCTTTTTTCTTTTTTTTGAAAAGGACACGAAAAGGCGAAAATATATTTATATGTGTGTGTGTGTGTGTGTATCGTGTATCGTATGGAAGACGCGGGTAGCGCGCGTCGTCACACCTGACGTCACACACTCGTTAGGGGGCAGATGGCCCCCCTCTCAACCGTGACGTTCGGCCCTTGGCGGGTACCTGGCGGCGTCTACCCATGGGGCCTCTTTCCTTTCTTCCTCGTCTCTACCCTCGTCTCTCCCTGTTCCGCTACCGGCATCGCGGTCCCCTCCACCGGTGGCCCCATAAGGTAAGGCAAAATAAAATAAAACTTCTGTCAAGGGAGGCCCCTTTTCCCTCGCACACACGCGCAGCTGCTCAGGTAGTAGCACGAGCTGCTACTTCCACATTAGAGGACGGAACTGGCGTGGGGGATCGCTGTGTGCCCCATTAAAATTCCGTCTGGCCAGACGCCCGGCTGCTCCCTCGCGTGCAACAACCGGGGCACGGAGGGGTAGGGGAGGAGAACGAGGGGGGAGAACAAGAAAGAGATTATTAAGGTGACGAACTTTCGATCGATTTGCTCGGATGCCCCCTTCCCCCTTAGATGTGCGCAAAGGGATAGGGAGAGATATTTTATTTTCTGAGCCCAATGAATCGTGGTCCAGAGTGCTGACTAATCTTGATTTATTCCTTCCATATTCGTGGAAATTGGAGGAATTGGAGGATATCCTTCCGCAAGATTGATAAAAAATATGTTTGTTTCAATGGTAACGATTTTCAGTGTACGATACACCAATTTATGGAATTTTATAAGTTTATAAAATATATACATACGAGAATAGGATAATATAAATATGAATTTATAGCAGCGGGAATGTGTATCGATGAAAAGTGTGTAATGTTATTAAAATTCTGCTGATAAATTTTATAAATTGGAAGGAAAGTGATTGTTACGTTCGATTGCAAATTTTTCAATATTTGTATAGCGAAATAATAATTTATGACCGAATTGTCGTGCAAGATCGAATCCTAAAACGATCCTCCTTTTCCACAAACGCATGTATATCGTACACGAAAATCGTGCACACAAAAGATCTCGTTAGAGAAGGATATTATCGCTTTTTCCATTTCAATCGAAAAAGTAGCCTGTTCCATTCCATTAACGCCGTCTCATAAAGGCAAGAAAAATCCCCTTTAAAGCCCGTTTCCTTCCAAGGAGAAAGGGATCTGGACTAATTATAAAAGGGGCCTCATAAAAATGTACAAAGGGACGAAAACGTGCGCAAAGTGAGACGTTGCATTGTCCGGCGTGTTCAAAGTGGCTAATGCCTCTTAAACCGTGGCAAAGTGGCCCATAACGAGGAATACACGATCGTTTTCACGCCTCGGTTGAAAGAGAAGAACCGATTTGTCGTCGCTCGTAAATCCGTCCCGCTCGTAATTTCTCGCCACGAGACATCCGGTCTTCCGGACAAGGCGTTGCGGGGGCGTTTCGTGTGGTAAACATAATGTCCTGACCGTGAAACCTTTTGTCTGTGCGGCGTGTATACCTTTTCTCATGCCTGGCGAAACTATACGCGTGCCGGCCACATCTTTTCGAGGCCCACACCTGGAAACTTTGCTGCATTGTGCCCTCCTTCCTTCTTCTTTTAACACGAGAAACCCAATTTTAAATTTGTTCCTTCCTTCTTTCAATAATTCGACAATATTAGATTAGACGATCTCTTGGAGGAAGTAACTTTTAATTTTCCTCTTCCGCATCCAAGAATCTATAAGCCTACTTCTAGTATTTTCGCGATTCATCTGCCCACAACATCTGCCCACGCGATCTTCTTTCCAAGAAAAAGATCCCTGTACACCGTTTCTCGCCCCTCGAACTCTCACGACTCGAGCTTTCCGCTCGAGCGTATCCGCGCGCGTGTCTGTCGAAATCGAGCGTGTCCGTGGAATCATGCGAGCGCAACGGGTCTCCGGCTAAAGTGGTTCGAATAAAAAGAGCGAAACGGAATCCAAAACGGTGCCCTCCTCTATCTTTCTCCACCCTCGCGAGCCTTCCAATTCTTCGCGACAGATTGGCCGGCTCTCTTCACCATCTTCCGGCCCCAATTTCTCTAACGGTAGCTTCTCCAACATGATCGAAAACCACGTGAGAAGATACACGGATCGAGCGAGCACAATGACTTTGGAACATATGTCGAACGGGCAAGTTTCTCTCGTCCGCATCAAGATACGTTATTAACGCGTGCCGGATGAGGGAAACGGTTCGTTCGCCTCGTGCGTTGGGGGGGGGGGGAAAGAGGATGGAAGAAGAGAAGGTGGGGAAGGAGAGGGATGGAAGGAGACAGAGAGGCAGGTGGAAGGAGCGAGAGAGGGCGAAGGAAAATCCATTTTCATGTCGAGACCGGCTCGAGCGGCTAGACACGTGGGTGGAAGGGAAGGTGGGGTAGGTCGAGCCATCTGGGTTCTTTTCCATCCTACACACGGCCACCTTGAGGGCCTTTTAAATCCACCAGAGACATGCACCTTGAGACCTGTTTGGGCCAAGAACCCTCGAACGCTTGGCCCTTTAAAGATCCTGACCCTGAAACCAAGACACTGTACCCTTACCCCTGGGCTCGCCTTAACAACCTGGGAGGGTAGATTCCATTCAATGGTCTCCTCGTTTTTTTTAATACGTGTACACGTATTCTTCCGTTCCCTTGATTTCGGATCGTGTTTCTCGTAGATCCATCTCGCAGATTCGTTTGATTTGTATCGGATTTAATGGACTTCTTCGTTTGAAACGAAATACTTTTATTTTCTATTATTTACTTGAGATCGTATCAAATAATTAATTTATTCGGATAATTGAATAATCGTCAGAAAAGAATTATAACTATATATATATATATAAGAGTTATATTAAAAAAGAGTTATAAGAGTTTCATGAAAAATGCAATGATTAATTTTTTGCCCACCGCGATTGAATTCTTATCTTACAACGTTACAAATAAAATATAATCAAGTTTCGAATGCATCTTGCGTTCCGACGTTTCTCAGAAACGAGCCAGATTTCACCGATTCGCGCACAATCGAGTCCCTATTAACATTTTACAGAGGCAGGACGAGTAAAAAAAAAAAAGGAGAGGAGG